TTATTATGTTAATGAGACCCCACACCCTGTACAGGTCAATAGGCCGAACTGACAAACAGAAACTGTAAACAAGTAGGTGTGTTAGTTTCAGTTAGTTAGCTCCTCCCTGCAGATATAAGGAAGTGTCCACCAGCGTCTGACCAGAACTGAAGAAGGAGCCTGGATGAGCTGCTAAACGTCTTCAGCCAAACTAACTTTGGTCTGTTAATAGTTACTTTATTTTAATATTGATTGTTCTCTCACTTTGGATTGCAACACTGAAATGTTCCCGTTGTGGGGCAAAAAAAGATGATAGTTCATAAAGACTCACCTGATTTATAATATGGAGCAGACACAGCTTTATGAACTATGACCTCTGCTCCTGTCACCTGAGTTCTAGGAGGAGCTATCAGGTAAATGAGCCCGCCCCAAAGGTTGTGCACCAGCATCTTCTCAGAAGTGACTGGGAATCTCTCAAAGACACATGGGGCCCTCTTTAAGTTCTTGTGTCTGAGGAAGTCTGTATGGCAACTGATCTGCACCTAGGAATATCAAAACAACAGAACTAAATACTAAAACAAGAAACGATAATATGAACACAATACAGCAACAATAATCATGAAAAAAATAAAAAATAACAATTCTTTGCATGAACTCCTCCCTGCTGTTTAGTCTCTACCTGCCATCTTCCCTGTGCCACAATATTAGTTGGTACGGATATATAAGTCTTCATCCCAGGAGAAAGATACAGGCCGGTACTGAGCCACTCCGCACCACCTACCAAAATGATGAGCTGTTTTTGTTTGATTAATTTGTTCGAACTGTGCAGAGCAGCGCAATAGGAACGTCTTCTGTAGAACTCTGTGATTGTCCCAATTATCTGGAGGAGCTCGGAGTAGAGCCGCTGCTCCCTCCACGTCGAGAGGAGCCAGCTTGAGGTGGCTCGGGAATCTGTTCCGGATGCCTCCTGGACGCCTCCTTCGGGAGGTGTTCCGGGCATGTCCCACCGGAAGGAGGCCCCGGGGAAGACCCAGGACACTTTGGAGGGACTATGTCTCTCGGCTGGCCTGGGAATGCCTCGGGGTCCCCCCGGAGGAGCTGGAGGATGTGTCTGGGGTGAAGGAAGTCTGGGAGTCCCTGCTTAGACTACTGCCCCCGCGACCCGGCCCCGGAAAAATGGATGGATGGATGATTTTAAGGTGAATTATGTAACTTTTCTGTTGGAAGGTCAGCCATCTGCTTGTCTACATGGAGATGTTATGGATGTTATGTTATTTTGCCTGGGATATTTCAGCATGTTAATCTTGTTTATCTCCATGGAGACAAAGAAGGCCACAATTTACAGATCAGATCTACTCACTGCCCACATTTAGCACGTAAGAATGTTTTTTTTTTTTTAGCAATATAACATGACAAGCAGGTGAAAAGTTACATAGTGCACCTAAAATCTTCAACACAAGTCTATAACAAAAAATATCGAAAAAAGAAAACTGTGTTCAGACATTCTCATATCTGACATATTATTGTTAGAAACAAATATTTTTTTTAAATTTTAAACATCTGATGCCACATTCCTCTTTGCTGTTGAAATAGGTTGCTGGTTTCGACATCGTTGGCTGCATCATCACCACTAAGTCTGGAAAAGTGTTTCCCACAGCACCAGACGACTGGAGGTGAGTATTGACAGATGATGTTGAAACGTACATCTGCGCAGGAGATTATGGGTTCAATCAGTGCATGATCTGCAGAGTGTCTGCCACTATCAAAAGACATGTTTGAGTTCATTTTCCCCTCCTTAGTTAAAAATTGTAAAAGACCATAATTGCCTTAAAGGTGCTATAATACACAAAATTGACTCTTGTGAGCTTTAAGCCATGTTAGAATGTTGTTACCTCCTCAGAAACATAAATAGAATTGTGTTTTGTTTCATTCGGACATCTTTGAGTAACCCTTTATTATTAGTATGTCTATATCTCCAAAGCTCAAAATGCTTTGTTCTACTTTGTGATTTGACAAGTGGTAGTTTTCAAATTAATTTTAATTAATTAAATTTTACTTTTAGTTCAATAGACATTGGTAATTCCAGGGCTGAAATGGTCCAAATGTCCATATATGACTACAGAGAAATACTCCATAAACCATAATACTGAAAATACTGAAAATATCACTGACAGAATAACAGTAAACCATTTTAAAGTAGACGGTATCATTAAAAGGACTGAGCTGGAACAAATGAACAGCAGAATGAACCAATAATTACCCATAGAAGATATTTATTCAATCCTTATTGTATTACAGCAGAATAATATTGTTCCAGCTTTCATATATTGAACGATAAGTTGATATAGAAATGATTGTGACAGGCCTTTTGACTCCTAGTGCATGATACCAGTTGACATGGATAAATGCTTACCGATATGTTACAGGCAAATAAGGAAATCAAGCGTTCTGTAGAATGCCGAGGTAGAATATGCAAATTCTGTGGCGTGCACTCTGATAACCAACAGAAACGAGATAAATAAGCAAGAGGCAATTGCAAACTTATGTAATTAAAACATAACAGTGTATTGTACAAGAAATTATTGAAATGCTTGAAGTGGTACAGTGAGTGTGTGCTTACAGTAGGCCAAATGTGTCTTGTGAAAGATCAACACGTACCACAAAGAACATAAAATATGCAAGATTAAGAATATGAAGTCGAAGTTTTTTCCACAGTGCAAATAACAACCCCACAGCCACACTCCAAGACAGTTAGAGCTGAGTCACTTTACACCTGCAACTGCTCATCTACACATGGTGCCTCCATCTGTTACTCACTAGAATTCTAAAGTCCTTACTCAACCGTTTGCTGTCACCACTTGCTTGCATAGTCATGTTAACTTTAATCTGGAACATTCTCATGAGCTTTGAAAACTACGTTCATCAAGACTGCTCTTCTTTCGGAGCACTGAGCAGTTCTCAGTCCATCTCAAATCTGCCCCTTTTTCTTATTCTGTAAAGCATTTTGAATTACGTTGTGTACCTTGTGCTATACAGATAAACTTGCCTTGCCTATTACTGTATGTGTCAGAAGTGGTTGTTAGAAAGACTGGAAAGAACCAATGTTTTAGTTCCACATTTCCATGTGTGCCTAGTTAACTTATCACTCTGTTTTGCAGCTGCTTTTTTGTCGTGCATTATTGATCTGAAAGCCACACACATCACACACTCATTGTGCCTTTTTCTTCTGCTACTATTAAAGAACATTCTCAGTTCATCCAGTCTCCTGAGTCTCTGACCGGAATCAACTGTCTGTACTGGCCCTCCAATCAGCATTGTTTTCTTAAATAACAATTGTATGATCATCAATTGTGGTTATGAATGGACCAAAGGGTATGCAGCAATAGTGCCTGTATGGATCAAGTCAACCGTAGAGACATCTTTATGTAACACGAAAAGCAGTTGTTACACATTTTGTGGATAAGCAACGATGGTTGCATAAAACGAAAACTAGAGATAGGATACTTTCTATTGGATATGAGGCCTGACCATTTAGTCTGAGTAATGGATTGAACCACTTTTATAATGTAATTACACACACTAGCTAAAGTGCAATGTATTAGGTGTTTTCAGTTTGTTACTTTTTCCTAGTGTATTTGCTCGTCACCCTTACTACTGTATATATACTTCTTGGGTCTAATGTCTGACAGACTTTGCTCTAGTTGAAGATAATATCTGAGCTATTATGGTACAAATACATGAAAGTTTAGATCTGAAAGTGAAACTATAATTTAAATTAAACATAGTTTTTAACCTGCAAGTATAGATTGTATAAATGTCATGCAAGTTGCGTCTTATGTTCAGTGCGTAGCGCGGTTTCATTGAGATCAGCGAGTAGAGGCCAGCTTGGCATGTAAGGGAATACGATGGGAACAGCCCAAGTTGGTGGGAATGAGAGAGTGTGATGCTTTCAATACTATGGCTGATAGTATTAGCTATGTTATTTTAGACAGCGCTTGATACATGCAACCAAGGTTTATATTACTCTGAACCGAGAGCAGCTACGATTCGATGTTCTAACGATTATCTCACAGCAATGAAAGTCATGTCTTCTCCTGACTAGAGCTAAAGAGCACAGCAATGTTCCTCGTATGATGCATAGGGCTATACAGAGTTTACACTATGGTTTTGGAGCTAGGATAAGTGACTATTTACAATTGAGTGAGGATGTTTTGTTAATCAGTGTTTAACAATAGAGTGTAAAGATTAGATATGAGTGGATTTTAATCGAAGATATAACAGAGTTGGAGAATTGGAAGGAATTTTTATCAGGAAACAAACACTTGTGTGCAATAATAGACAAGATAAAAAAAAAAACACTCATTAAGATCTCCAATATTATGAGCTAGCTGGTTAGTAAACAACACTATCTAGTTTACAAACATGCAAATCCCGAAAGTACTATGCTACCGAAAGTAAACTCAACACCTATCATTTCTGCAACCAACGACAACCTAGGAGTACCTCTTGCAACGCCATCATTATAACTAAACAGAGAGACAACAAAGGTATAATAACACCGTTTTGGCAAAGCACAGTCTACATTTAAATGCTTAAAATGTGAACTGAAAACAAATATATACAGAGTTATTCAGCAAAGCATACATGTGTGTTATTGTCAAACCGATTAAATCTTCTATAATATTACAGAACCACGTAATTTAGTCTTGTACAGGAAGGCCATGACAAACTAGCGGTGCTCCTACCAGGAAACGAAAGAAGAAGGATTTCTCGCGCAGGAAGAGCAGACAAGATGAATAGCTCATGGGCTCACTGTGGAAAAAGAAGTAAGAATTTTCTCACACAGTAGTGCGACCAAGTTATGTGTACCAAATCGATACCTCATTACATAAAACAACATGTAGCCATTTGTCCGAGAGGATGATACACTACAAACGAGAACAATCGAGAGCGGAAGTGAGAGCGACAAGACGAAGGTAGAATTGGAAATATAGCATAAATCCATTATAATATAATCTTACACATCTGTCGCTACAGGAGAAATCCTTCTTCTTTTTCCCAGGAGCCCAGTTTTCTGGCCTTCCTGCAGCGTCTATAGAAGAAAGTGATACAATAAATTATGTGTATAAGTTTTATCAGTTCTTACAAAAACTGTGCTTTGCAAAACTGTATTTTGTTCATTTTTAGCTATAATGATAGGGTACCATTTGCCGTTGCAAGAGTTTGGTGTCTGGAGAGAATAGATAGTGTTGTTTACTAACCAGCTACAAATTCAGATTTGCATTTTAACTTCTGTATTATGACAAAGTGTTTTTTTTTTAATCTTCATTCACTGTTCCTGATAAATACACTTTATCTTTTCATTAAAACAATAACAAACACTATATATGTAAAACTAGTCCAAAAATGTCTTACCCCCAACATAGAAACTCTGTGCCTTGTCAACAGGAATGCTTTCATTAGCCTGTGAACAGACACACCACTAGTATGTTAAACCTGTGTGCTGTCAGTCAAAATAATAGAATAAGCTGTTAAAACAACCTTCTCACACAAATGGGTCCACATTCCCACCACTGGCTTCCTGTATATGCCAGGACCACTCGCTACAAAAACCTGAAACACAGAGAAAACTGATCATTTTATTTACTTCAGTTAAATTTTATTAATATAGCTCATTTAAAACAACTTCAGTTGACCAAAGTACTTCACCTAGAAGTTGACAAAAACACAGATATACAGATAGGAGCACGATACATAGGAAAAGTACAATAAAACACACCAAGATATCCTATCTAGTTTGTTTTAAATGTCATCTACAGTAGTCAGGCTTAGCATAACAGCTACCTGTCTAATATGCAAACCCTGTACAAAACAAAATGTTAAACTTTTCGGAAGTGTTTCTTTGACTGGACCATACAGGCCTCTGCTTTTTCCTTTAACCACTTGTGATGTCTACATTAGCTTAATAAGAACAATGCTGATTGGAGGGGCCAGTACAGACAGTTGATTCCGGTCAGAGACTCAGGAGACTGGATGAACTGAGAATGTTCTTTAATAGCAGCAGAAGAAAAAGGCACAATGAGTGTGTGATGTGTGGCTTTCAGATCAATAATGCACGACAAAAAAGCAGCTGCAAAACAGAGTGATAAGTTAACTAGGCCCACATGGAAATGTGGAACTAAAACATTGGTTCTTTCCAGTCTTTCTAACAACAACTTCTGACACATACAGTAATAGGCAAGGCAAGTTTATCTGTATAGCACAAGGTACACAACGTAATTCAAAATACTTTACAGAATAAGAAAAAGGGGCAGATTTGAGATGGACTGAGAACTGTTCATTGCTCCGAAAGAAGAGCAGTCTTGATGAACGTAGTTTTCAAAGCTCATGAGAATGTTCCAGATTAAAGTTAACATGACTATGCAAGCAAGTGGTGACAGCAAACGGTTGAGTAAGGACTTTAGAATTCTAGTGAGTAACAGAT